CAGTAAGCCCACAGGGGACAGCTCTCCTGCAGACAGTCCACTGTGTGCGCGTGTGGTGCGGGGGATCCATACCACCAATGCAGTGGCCAGCAGGGCCATCTTGCCTGCCTTCAGAAAAAATTAAGTGAGGTCTCCCTGCTCGGGACACAGCCCCATCTTAGAAGAGGCCAGAGGAGGAAGAGAGCCTCCCTTGCCTCAAGCTGAGTCAGAAGGGTGGTAGAGAGCCCTCATCAGCCCAGGAGGAGCCAGGGAGGGAGAGAGAGCCCCTATTGGCCCCCCGGGACAAGCCAGCAGGCAGGGTGTGCAGTCCCCGCTGCCCAGGGCTGCCCCCAGGGAGAAGCCAGTGGTCACTCCCATCCCCTGCCCTGAGCGCCTCCTCACCCCCTGCCCTAACTTCTGCACCCTCCCATGTCCCCATCCTTCTGCCCTGAACTCCCCACATCCCCAAGACCCTACCCTAACTCCTGCACCCCCCACAGCACCAGCCCCCTGCCCTGAAGGATCTGGGCAATGCCGGGTAAGTATTCTAGTATGTATGTTCATACGTTCTTATGCAACTACTGTGCGCTGTGTTATGGCATCCACTCGTGCTTGCAGGACATTCACAGAGTGTTCTTCAGCTGTATTTTTGACAGGTATTTGCTTTCTGGTGAAGTGAGTGAAAGATACAGTACAAAGGTAAAGTCACATTCAAGGTCAGTGTATCTGGTTGGCTTTGCAACTGATTTTCCCTGCTAAATAAGTGTAATCTGTTCTGTTCAGATTATTATTGCTGCCAGTGTGTAGTTAACATATATTGTTTTCAAGGGTCGTGTATAGTAATCAGAAGGTAATTATTTTGACAGGATTTAGTCAGAAACTGACCAATTCCTGGTCTACCATCAAACCTGCTTATTCTAGCTCCATTTGAAAGCATTGTTTAAACACAACCTTTCCTTCTTTTCTGCATATGTGTGATTTCAGATTTTAAAAAACAGCAACCTTTTGTCCCCAAACAAAATATAAGGACATCTTGGACACTCTGAGAAACACTTGAATGAGCAAGGAACTTCTAGGGTTATAGTGGAAAGCAAGATTTTATGCAGTGATCAGCCCTTTTATAAGGCTTTATATTTCTGTCAAAAGTAGTTAGGGGTACTGAGCATTTCAGAGAATCAGACTCAAAATGCTCCAAATTAATATGATATGCTAGAATTAAAGTTAACGTTTGTACAGAAATTCATCGGCACAATTCTGCAGGATGCTGACCACTCTGGCCCCAATCCAGCAAAACATTTAAACAAATGCTTAATTTTAGGCATACAAAGTAGTCCTAACAAAGGTAACAGAACAATGTACATGCCACATAGTTAAGTTTGCTAGTTAGGTATGCTCGGCACACTGCAGGTTCAAACCCTACAATACAAAATTGCATTCAGGGTAAGCAGTTGTATAAAAATCTTGCCTTCCACCAGCAGCAACAATAGAAGTATCTTCTTCATTAAAGAGTTTTTTTCTCTGGTTTTCCCAGGTGCCCTTATAGCTTGCTGTTTGTGAATGAAAGGGTTTTGTTGCTGTGTACATTTTTGGAAGCAGACGTTATTTATCCCCTTAAAAGAAGTGTTCGGCAGCATTCAGGATTAGGTTTATGGCTGGCTTTAAGCCTGTGACACATACCCCTAAGCCTTCCACTGTTACTGCTGCAGTGTGTACGTACAAGATGTGCAATATACAAAATGTGCACAGAGAAAACAAACCTAGCAGCAGTCTTGATAGTAAACACAGCTGCACAGGCAGAATTACAGACATAGCATCTGTTAAAAAAAAAAAAAAAGACATACATTTATTGCTGAAAACTGCTTTTAGCACAGCTCACATGAAACTACTTCATATGTGTGGAAACCAGGGATGTAAGCAACTAGTTGACTACTCCCTCAGGGTATGTCTACACTAGCCCCCTAGTTCGAACTAGGAAGGCTAATGTAGGCATTCGAAGTTGCAAATGAAGCCCAGGATTTAAATATCCCAGGCTTTATTTGCATCTTTCCATCCGGGCGCCATTTTTAAATCCCCTTAGTCCGAACTAACTGCCCACGGCTATGCGCAGCAGTTAAACGTTAATTTGAACTAAGTCCACGAGGTATAACAGTTAATTCGAACTAAGGGTACGTCTACACTACAGCGCTAGTTCGAACTAACTTAGTTCGATTTAGTTAATTCGAACTAAGCTAGTTCGAACTAACGCATCTAGAACTAAAAACTAGTTCGAACTAGCGTTTTGCTAGTTCGAACTAGCAAGTCCACATTGAGTGGACTCTGAACAGGGCTTAAGGATGGCCGGAAGCAGTGCCGGCAGGGCATAAAAGGAGGACTTAGAGCATGGAGATGCTGTCTCAGGCTAGCCGAGGGCTGCGCTTAAAGGGTCCCGACCCCCACCCCGGACACACAGTTCTAAGGGGTGCCCCGCTTGCAAAGAAGTTCTGGCTTGGAGTGCCCTGAGTGCCCACACTGGGCACATCACACCACTCGGCCATCAGCCCGGCTGCACTTGCCGCAGGCTGCCATCTGGGGAGAGGGAGTAATTGGGGGGCTGCAGGAGAGCTTCCACCCCCAGAAGCCCGCAGAGCCAGCCCAGTCCTCCCCATCGGGGGCTCGTACCCCATTCCTCCCTCACCTCCTTCCACTTACCCTTCCCTAGCCCCCCTTCTTATTGATGTACAAAATAAAGATAACGTTTCTTCCAACATTGACTCTGTCTTTATTGAAAAAAAACTGGGGGAGACTGGGAAAAGGAGGTGGGAGAGGGGAAGAGAAAGGCTGGGAGAGGGGAGGGCAACTAACATGATCAGGGGTTGGGAACAGGTCCCAGATGAAGAAAGGCTACAGAGACTGGGACTGTTCAGCTTAGAAAAGAGGAGACGGAGGGGGGACAGGATAGAGGTCTCTAAAAGCAGGGGTTGGGTGGAGAGGGTGCATTCAGAAAAGTTCTTCCTGAGTTCCCATAAAGAAGGACTAGAGGACACCAAAGGAAAGGAATGGGTAGCAGGCTTGAAACTAGTAAGAGAAAGTTGTTCTTCTTCACAAAGCAAATAGTTAACCTGTGGAACTCCTTGCTGCAGGAGGCTGTGAAGGCTACAACTAGAACAGAGTTTAAAGGGAAGTGAGATCAAGTCATGGAGGTTGGGTCCATGGAGTCCTATTAGCCAGAGGGTAGGAGTGGTGTCCCTGCCCAAAGTTTGTGGAAGGCTGGAGAGGGATGGCACGAGACAAATGGCTTGGTCATTGTCTTCGGTCCATCCCCTCCAGGGTCCCTAGGGTTGGCCGCTGTTGGCAGACAGGCTACTGGGCTAGATGGACCTTTGGTCTGACCCAGTACGGCCATTGTAAGCTCAGGGCTCAGGGTCGGGGGTCTCAGTGGACCCCCTTGATTTTCATGCACACCTGGTCCTGGGTGGCCAGGCTGGCAGCTCTCCTGCCCTAGACGGCCACTTTCCTGTGCCTAGTGCAGAGATCGCATCGGGTGGGTGGCTCTGTGCCGTGCCAGGTGCAGGGTCTGCTAGCTGGGTGCTGGCAGGCTTGCACCTGGCACGGGCACCGTAGCCAGCCCGTGCCCCTTTAAGGGGTCCGGGGCTGGGAGGGGGGCATAGAGTTTCCCTGGTGTTGGCCAGAGTGGCCACCAGGGAAACCTGGGGAGGGCTAGCCTCCCACTAGTTCGAACTAAGGGAAGGGAGTAATTGAACCCCAAGGACTTAGTTCAAATTAACGTTTAACTGCTGCGCGTAGCCGCGGGCAGTTAGTTCGGACTAAGGGGATTTAAAAATGGCGCCCATACGGGAAGATGCAAATAAAGCTGAGGACATTTAAATACCTGGCTTCATTTGCAACTTTGAATGCCTACATTATCCTCCCTAGTTCGAACTACGGGGCTAGTGTAGACATACCCTCAACTAGTTGTTTCCCCACCTTGCTGCCTCTATCAGATCTATCAGAGGCAGCAAGGGAGGGAGCAAGAACAGGTGCTTAAAAGCTGGCTCCCCCAGCACTGTCTCCATGGGGGCAAAGGAGGCAGGCAGGTAGCAGGGACCAGATACAAGTCAGGAATCAGCTGATTCCCAGCTCATACCCAGTTCCAGATGCTGGCCTCTGCTGGCTCTTAATATATTTAAAAATCAGAAGCCCAGCAAGGAGTGGGGGAAGGGGGCGGCGCAAGCCAGAATAGCTGATTCCTGGCTCGTGTGAGTCCCCCACTGAGCTCCAGCCTTTTTACATTTCAGGTTGGTGCACAGTTGGAGGACCGGGTGCGAGCCAGGAATCAGCTTGCCCAGCTTGTGCTGGGTCCTCCTCGACTACACTTCAGCCTTTTTAAATGTATCAAGAGCCTACTTGATTTAGTAGGCAGAGCCACAGAGGGGCTGGCACCCAGAGCCGGGAGCTAACCACACTGCAGCTCCCTCGCTTAATGACTAATTGATGGAAAATCCATCGACTAAGCAATTGGCTGATTAAACGGAAGTTAACATCCCTAGTACAGACCCAATTTTAAAACACCATATGGGTGTAGTTGGTATCCAATTTGTATTAAACTGGTGGGGCACAGAATTAGCAAACTAAGAGCCAGTATTCCAAGTTACATTTTTTAAATAATGAGAGGTCCCATCATCTGGAACATTTAACAGTTACTGGAACATTTTCCAGTACAAATTACTATAAGGAGCAATGTAGGAAAATGTCTCAATTTAGATTGAATAAAGAACCCAAGGAGTTAAAGATACTAACATGACCCTGAAACAGTCCACATTAAACAGTTTTAAACAAGGTTTGGGGTTTCATCGACAGAGTCTTCAGCCTGCTTAGTGTAATGGCAAACACATTAGGAAATCCTTGACAAAGGTTAGAAATGTATTGATTGAAACATCCATGGAAAAAAATCAAAATGAGAAAAAAACACTGACACTGAAATTGAGTAATTATGAAAAACAGTCAAAACCCATCCAAGGCCCTCTTTGGAGAGAGGGCAAATATTGAGTAAAGTCTTTTATTCGCTCCAACAGACATTCTTGGTAGGGAGAAAAGGATTAGTTCTGTTGTCTGTCCAATTGTGAGTCCGGAATGAGACTCAATGCAGCTTTTCATAAAACCAACAGACCCAGGAGGCAGAGAAGAGAGGATAGTAAGGATGGAGGCAATGTGGTTTTTGTTGATGTTCTCAGCACACAGGGTGGCTGGCCAGTCAAGAAAGAATGCTTTGGGCTGGCAGGTCAGCCATAGCTGGTGTCAGTCAGTCTGTACTCTGACTCACTTGCTAATCAGGACATCATGTGGTTGGTCAGGTCTCATCCCTCTCTTTCACTGTTCCTCCTCAGACTGAAGAGAGCTGAATGGCTGACTCCTCTCTATGCTGGTGCTGAAAGTACAATTGATTTCAGGATCAGGTGCAAAGCCAAGTGAGAGGACAGCAGGAAGATAATGGGGGACAGAAAAGAGCAGACAAGGGAAATACAGCCAATCTGTCCTTCTCTTATTGCGAAACAATAACCTCCAACCTGCCCTTTTGAAAGCAGAGGTGCAGCTTGCATCATAGATCTTAAGCAAGGTTTAAGCATAGTTTCTTTCTATCTGAATACTCAGTCAACAGCTGATTATAAAGAGTACAGGAATGTGGGAGGAAGACCAGAACACCACACATTTTGGCAACTGCTGATAGGCCACACCATATCACTTGGAAAATAACTGGCTATTCCACTGGAAAGTGGATGGAGGGGAAATCATTAATGTCTGATAAACTGGGAAGAGGGGACTTAAAACTGAAATTAGGTGGGATCTGAAAACTGTACGTTCGTTACCTTAAAAAAGAGCACTTGTCACAGTGTAACAGAGAGGTTGTGGAAGCAAAATGCAGGACAATGTAGCACTTTAAAGACTAACAAGATGGTTTATTAGATGATGAGCTTTCGTGGGCCAGACCCACTTCCTCAGATCAAATAGTGGAAGAAAATAGTCACAACCATATATAGCAAAGGATACAATTAAAAAAAAAAAGAACACATATGAAAAGGACAAATCACATTTCAGAACAGGAGGGGGGTGCGGGGGGGGAAGGAAGGAAGGTAAGTGTCTGTGAATTGATGATATTAGAGGTGGGGAGAGTGGGATGTTTGTGAGTTAATGGTATTAGAGGTGATAATTGGGGAAGCTATCTTGGTAATGGGTAAGATAGCTTGAGTGTTTGTTCATTCCTTCTTGGAGAGTGTCGAATTTTAACATGAATGACAGTTCAGAGGATTCCCTTTCAAGTGCAGATGTAAAAGGTCTTTGTAGCAGAATGCAGGTGGTTAAGTCATTGAGTGTCCTTTCTGGTTAAAATGGCAAGAAACTGTTTTTTCTTTGTGATCTTGTCTGATATCTGTTTTGTGGGCATTAATCCTTTGGCGAAGTGTCTGAGATGTTTGTCCAATATACATAGCAGACGGACACTTTCGGCACATGATAGCATAGATTATATTTCTGGATGCGCAGGAATATGTGTTCTTGATCTTGTAACTCACTTGGTTAGGTCCAATAATGGTATCAGCAGAATGAATATGTGGACAAAGCTGGCAACGGGGTTTAGAGAGCAAGAGAGGTTGTGGCTGAGTTTTGACACCCACCCTCCTAGCTATCAAGAATAATCTTGATTTCAGCTCACATTATTAGATTATCTTCCACTCAATCATGTCCATACAAATAAAAACAATACCTTTTGTTCATACATGGTAACCTATTCACCTAAATATACATTAAGGAAACAAACTGTAAATTTCAAGGCAAACAAAGCTTAACAAACTGTTTAACTAGAAATTCTGAGTTATAATGGAGTTATAAATAGAGGCTCCTTTCAGAAAAAAAGAACATTCTCTTTGTTTCCAGCCAAAATCAATAACCATAAATATTTACAATCAGGAAAAATTATCAACAAAACAAACTGATTTACAATCAATATCATTAATAAACCATTCTGCCCAGTATTTAAAATATAAATTACAGCTATTACACATTGGATGAAATATTTAAAATGTGACAAACACTATGGTTCCAGAGAAAACACCTGTCATTCCTTGCCTTTCCACTGCAGTGCGGCATTGCCTGAAGGACTCTGCCCTGAAATGGATATGCATCTGAGCGGGGAATATTAGTTGGGATAGGAGTCTCTTTGCTGACAAACATGTACTTGCACCCAGTGCTACTGGCACATTTCTTCACAGAAAAAGTTGTCATTCCACTAAACAAAACTGATTCCCTGCAATTCCATAAGATATGGGTCTGTTCTGTGATTAATCTGTTTTGTTTCTGTAAAAGTGTTGTGGGCATCCATTTGTTTTCTTGTGATGGTCAATGGGCATCCCAACAGCAGCATAACCACCTCCCTCCCTTCAGTATAACTACCAGTGTGCATTCCCTGCCCCCCTCACACAGACACTCTGTTACTACAGCTAGGTAGTTCCCATCTTGCACCATGTACCTCTGGCAATTCATCTCCATCCCCAATTTCCACCTGCAGACACTGTCCTGAGAGGGCATTACCAACACACGGATGACTAATGCTAAATACTATCAGAGAGAGCTTCTTTTCTTAACCCCAGCAGAAACAGCTCAGGGCCTAGAGCAATGATGGGCAACCTAGGGTAGTGATTAGGTCGCATGAGTGGTCCTCCTTCATCTCAGTGGCCCGCAAGATTGTCATAACCAAGACAGTCTCTCAGGATAGAGTAGTTTTGCTAACTGCATCTGCGTCCCCAGAGTTTGCAGGGTGTGCCAATTGAACTGTCACAGTGCCATGACTGGATGCAAAGGGAGTGCATGGGAGTCAATGTTGTATGCAATCAGCATGTACCTTACTTCGCATGTCCTTGCTTTACATGTGTGTCACTTTAGTAATACTGTTAGGAAAAAAACAAACGTGCCAACATGGACAGAAATCAGTGCACTCTGGCAATCCTGCATGTGGGAAACAATAAACAAAATGTCTTGTGAGCCATACAAAGAATCCTGATGGACCACAGGTTGCTCACCACTGGCCTAAAGTGTGTTAGCATTGACACCATTTCCCTAAACACTCCAGGATCTTTCTGTGCAAATTCTATTTTGCTGGTGCTCAGGTGAAGCTGTGATAAGAGAACATATGCTAAGTGCTACTCACCCCAGAAAGGTGTCACAGGATGCTGGGGGCAGCACCAAGTTCAGGGAGGCTGAAAGCTGCAGAGGGAAAGGGGTGTGAGTTGATGATCAAAGAGGATGCAGGGGATGGAGATAAAGGGGGTTCTGAAGGAGAAGAGATAGGGAGAGGGGG